GTCCGCTCTTGGTCTGTCCGAGCTCGAGGTTGGAGACGCCCAGTTTCCTGAACGTCATGGTGCTCTCGCCAGCCTCCACCTCGTGGTCGTGTACGGCTCCCAGCTGACCGAGAGCCTTCTGTGACAGCAGCGCGGGGACCAGGCACGGCACGATGGACATCCTCAGCGTGAAGGGACGTCCGCGCATTGCGAGCGGCACCAGCGCTCCAATCGTGCTCATGACTGGCTTCCCGGCCCCGCTCCTGACAATTTCGTGTTCGTCAAATTCGATCGGCTTGAGGCCCATCTTCGCGAGCCGCTTCTTGATGTCATCGTGCCATACCTGTCCTCCAACGGACTTGGCGCAGCACGAGTCTGGTAGCAGCTTGCCGCCGCACTGCTGCAGCAGCTCCTCCTTCGTAGCCATGATAACGTTCACGGTGCCCGTGCCTGTCATCAGCACGCTGTTGTTGATGAAGAACGTCTGCTTCTCGATCTGCTTCTCCTTGCTGCTCCAGCTCGTGAGATACTGCTCTGATACCTGGTCTTCCTCGTCATTGTCGTCGGCAGTCGTGATATGTGCCTTGCTTGGCGTTCCCGAACACTCGGGGTCGCCCTTCCAGTGTCCCAACTTCTGGCACACCGCACAGTGAGTCCTCGCCTTCAGCTTCTTGATGCGGTCCGAGCCCTTGCCGCCAGGCCCCTTGCCGCCTCCGTGACTGCCTTTCCCGCCAGGTCCTTTACCAGATCCGCGCCCAGGTCCCGGTAGACGATCTCTATGATCAAATCCTCTGGCTTGTTTGGCATCCTGTTGCCTGTCCTTCCCTCTTGGGAGCATCTTCTCTAGCTTGTAGACTTCGGCCTCCGCTTCATCGTGCTCCTCGAGTAACTCCTCCGGCAGGTCTTCGTCGTCCACCTGGGTCTCGTACGCTTCGAAATCCTCCTCTTTGTCGTTCTCGGTGAAGTGAGCTCCCCATCGTCGAGGTCGTGTTGGTGGACCTCTAGGCGCTAGTGGCGTCATGGGTGCTGGCCTCCGGGGGTTGTGCTTATCCAGTGTTTTTGCGTCCTTCACGTTCAGCAGCGTCTGCTTCTGTAAGGGTTTGAGCTCGTACTTAGTCTGATTGGCGTTCAGCACTCCAGCTTCTCGATCTGGCGGCAAGCCTAGCCACCACATGAACAACCACGCCAGCGCTTGATCTGGGAACTCGATTTGCACGGTCTTGAGCCGTGAGACCTGCGTGTCGAAGCGGTTGATATAGGCCCTGATCTCTTCGCCGCTGTCGCGGCGCATGCGGGTGAAGAAGGTCTTGAGCTCGGACCCGAGCTCCATCACCTTCTCGTCATCAAACTTGTCTGCTAGGAAGTCGAGCAGCACTTGGTCGGGTCGAGGTCCTCTGCGTGTATCCAGGCGTCGCCCTTCAGTTCTGCGTAGAGCTCCGCGGCCTGCCTCTCGAGGGGCAGTCTGGTCCGTATCTTGAATATCGCCACTCGCCTCCTATAATCCTTCATCGTCATCGTCTGTGGGTCGGCTGGAGCTGGAACGTGTGGTCCTCCCAGCTGCTGGGTACGTCCTTCCTCGCCTTCTCCTGGTTCATCTGGTGGCTCCATCTTGGGGGCCATGCTCGCCGGAACTGCTGTTGATCTCCGGTTTCGTACTTGCTAGTGTGATGCGGTCTGTCCGCTGAACTCGATGCGACGAGCTGCTTCTCTTCGCTGCGACGACGTCGTGTCCGTGGGTCGAACAGCTCCGCTACCAATGTGAAGATGCGACTTCTGAGATAGGCGCTCCTGTTTTCCGTATGTCGCCTGAGACTCAAGGGCCCTGGGGGCCGCAATGTTTACGGACAAGAAACAAGTGAGACGAGGGGCAAACGCTAGGCCATCCAGCACTCTCGCTTTCACCCCCCCCGCTCGCCGCCGAGAGGGGAGGCAGGTGGAGGAGGGCAGGAGACACGAGTTCCTGTCGATGGGTGAGCCTGTCCGCAGCTGCCAGGGTGACAGGAAGAGGAGGAGGCGGCACAGGAGGTGGAGCTGGGTGGCGGCCTGACGGCGTTGGAATGGAGGCAGAGGGCGACAGAGGGGGGCGGGAGAGGCGATGAGGCAGGCGAGGTGGAGGGGGGAGGCAACCCATGGGAGGCTTGTACGTCTTCGGGAGTCCGTCTTCTGAGCGCAGTGCGCAGCGCTAACGATTGGTAGTCAATCGATGAGACGGCGCCGACATAGCGTCGGCGTGCGTCGATTCGGCGTCCGTGAGTGTCGACTAGCGTCGGTTGGCGTCGGTTTGCGTCGACTCGCAAGTGCCATCAAAATGCCACAGCAGGCTTCCGTGAGTTGTCGCAGATCAGTACCGCTTACCCGACCGTTATCCGAATCCCCAGATTCATCCATACCCCCACCATCCCAGCACCCCAGTTGGGGATGTACCCCTCGAAACCCAAGGGAAACAGGAAACATCTTATATCCCTATCCAGGAGTGTGAATCGGCCACTGGGGCCCAGGCCACGACCATGAGGATAGGGGGGGAAGTGAGAAGGAGAAGGCCTTCTCAGAAGACGGTGGGGCTTCTCAGAAACCCTCGCGCCTTCTTAGAAGTTTCCGATGCCTTCGGGGAAATCTAAGAAGTGTTTGCTCGGGACCGCGTGGGGGCGAGGGGCGGGGGAGACGACGACGACGACGACGACGACGACGACGACGATGACGACGACGACGACGATGACGACGAAGAATACGACGACGACCGCGACGACAACGACGACCACGACGACCACGACGACCACGACAAGGAAGAGGAAACAGAAAAAGAAGACGGTGAGGGTAAGGACGAGGAGGAGTAGGAGGAGGAGGAGGAGGAGGAGGAGGAGGAGGAAGAGGAGGAGGACAACGAGGTCGAGGATAGAGCCCTGAACATCGCCTCTTGGAGCCCTCTTGGGGAGCCCCGGGCTTGGTCCGCACCACTCCCCGAGCGGACCGCAGGACGCCGAGGCGATCCTGCGGCGCGTCGCCGAGGGCAGGACGGCGGCTTTTGGCGGCGGCGCCATGGCTGCGTCGGAGGGCCAGGCGCTCCCAGGCGCCCCCAGGCCATCTTGGGGCGATCTCTGGGGCCTCTTGGGCCGTCTTGGGCTCTCGGAAGGCCGAAAAGAAGCAAATGCCAAGATCCTTTAAGGAGCTATGGAACACCGATGATGTTGGCCTCTCCGGGCCCTCCTGGAGGACGTCTTGGGGGCGTCGTCTTGGGCCATGTTGCAGGCTTCTTGGGCGCGGTCTCGTTGGGCCCTCTCGGACTCCCGTGTTTCGGCCCCGGGGGCAGGCCTGGCTCACGTCGGTGGCGGCGGCCTTGGGGTGAGAACCCGTGCCACATCACGTATAAGCACCCGCGTGTGGGCCGCGCCGCGGCCTCGGGTCGGCCCTCCAGGGGGGATCTCGTTGAGGCAGCAGAGACCCCCACTGCGTGCTGGATCTGTTACGGGGCGCCCATCCCGTAGAACCCCTTTCCTGGATTCTGCAGCAGTTCGGAGCAGGCCAGGAGCTGCAACGGCAACCAGCGCGACGGTCTGCACATGGGCATTCCTGTAGGCCGGAGCTTTATAAGGCACTCCCACATGTAGGTCGGCTGGCCCACCCACCTGTCAGGCTGCGACCCGCGGGCCGTTTGAATTCTCTGCATGTCTTTGGCCCCCCCGCCACTGCCTACGCGGTAGCACGAGCACCGAGAATCCCGAAGCTGGGAACATTCCGGGCACCTCGTCAGCATATGGCCCCGGTCAGCAGACAGTCCTTCGTGCGAGGTAGTTCTCCAGCCCAGAGCCACGCCCGGCAGAGCCTCGTTAGCCGCGTCAACCACGTGCCGTTGGCGCCCTTCCACCCCGGAGGGTAGCCCGCGAAACTTCCAGCGAGCCGGAGGGGGCGGGAGAGGCTGCCACAGCGCCGTGGGATCGTTCCCGCTCCCCGCCAGACTTTCGTCGGTAGGTGAAGTTGGACTTTCGGCAGCAGTGTGGCAAGGACATGGGTACAGCCACCTCCGAGCCTCCCCCTGCCGGGCCGCGGCCGTAGCCGTAGCCGGGGAGCTGCCACATCACGTATTGGTCGATCTCCTTCGCTTTGATGATGGTGGCTACGACGATTCAGGTGGCGGTTGTGATGGTGATGCTGATGATGCCGATGATGAGGGTGATGATGGTGCTGACGATGATTATGAAAATGCCGATAATGATGGTGATGACAAGGATGTTGATGATGATGACGATGGCGATGATGATAACGAGTACGATGATGATGATGATGATGATGATGGTGGTGGTGATTATGATGATGATGTGGGTGATGATGCTGGTGATACTGGTTGTGGTGCCCATGAAGATGGTGGTGATGATGGCTGCGATGATGATGTTAATGATGGTGGTGCTGGCGATGGTTGTGATCATTGTCGTGCTGGTGATGGTGGGGATGATGGTGATGTTGATGATGATGTTGATGACAGTCAGTATGATGATGACGCGTGTGATCATGCTGAAGATGACGATGGTGATGATGATGATGATGGTGATGATGATGGTGAGGATGATGTTATGATGATGATAATGAGTATGATGATGATGATGATGATGATGATGATGATGATGATGATAATAAAAATGCTGGTGCTGACAATGGTGATGGTGATGGAACAATGCGATAGTGATGGTTGCGGTGGCGATGGTGACGGCGATGTTGATGCTTCGGCCGATGGTGACAGTGGTGATCGTAATGACGACGGCGACGGTGATCGCGGTAATGGTTGCCATCATTATGACGTTGGCGATCATCATGGCGACGGTGATGATGAGTATGACGATGGTGGCGACGATGCTTTGATGTTGCTGCTGTTGATGGTTCTAGCGACGGCGACGACGACGGCGGCGCCGATGGCGGCGACGACTACGACGACGACGACGGCGACGACGTCGACGGCCGGCGACGACGGCGACGGCGACGACGACAACCGCCGCGGCGGCGGCGGTGGTGCACGCGGAGCGGCTTCCCAGGGAGAGGCGCTTGGGCGCTCTGCATCCAGGAGCCCCGCCGCCGCCGCCGCTGCCCCGCCGATGCCGCCCGCCCCTCGCACTCTTCGGCAGACAGACGGGCAAGTCACCGAGAGGCCCCCCAGAGAACCCAACGAGGCCCGCAAGAGAACCCCAAGAGGCCACCAAGTGTCCCTCAGGAGGCTCCCATGAGGCCCCCGGACTGTCCCCCAAAGGCCCCCAGAGCGTTCCGAACAGACCCCAGGAATCATCCTTGAGAGCTCTGGCCCACAAGACATGCACGGCGGGGAAAGATATTGGAGGGGGGGTACAGGGCAAGGGGAGGCGCAGGCCAAGGGGCAGGCATTGGGCCAGGGGGAGGGTGCGGGGCAACGAAAAGGACGAGGAGGTGGGGGTATAGCACGCGGAGGCAGAAGAGAAGGGGGGAGAAAGAGGAGGAGAGAAATAACTTTTGGAAGAAGAGGAGGAGGAGGAGGAAGAGGAGGAGGAGGAGGAGGAAGACGACTACCATGACGAGGACGAGGATGGTGATGAAAACAAGGGTCGGACCAGGAGGAGTTCGACGAAGCGGAAGAGCACGACAGAGGCGGGCACCGATCCTCGGGGACTCCGGCAGGCGGCGGATGTGGATGTGTTGGGCCCCCCCGGGGCCCAACTATTTCCATATCCACCGCCCGATGGGTGCCCACGGCGTCGGTTCCCCAGGGGGTGGATGTGGATAGCTCCCCGCCTCTGCATACGTCGAAGAAAAAGAGGCACACTCATTATGATAACAGAACAGGAATATAGACATTCGACGGTCCGCGCGGACTTCTTGGATCCGCGCTGGGGCCCCCTCGCGGCGCCTCGAGGCGCCGCCCCTGGCGCACTCCGCGCGCCCCGCTGCGAGTCCTGCCGCTGCTCCTGCCGGTGCGCGTCCTCGGCGCCTCTTCGTCGTCAGTCCTCTTCGCGCCGCGGCGGGCGCCACGAGCGACGGCCCGCACCGAGGGCACGGGGGCCAGCGTGGGCAGAAGCAGCGACGGCCGCGTGCACGGGCAGCGCGGTCGGCGCCCAGACGCGGTGGGGCTCTTTGCGCGGGGCGGTGGGGGAGGGGGGCGACGGTCGCAAGGGTTGTCTGACGTTGTGAAGAAACATGGCGCTAGGGGTTTGGGATGGTGCCGGGCGGGGCGTGGGGCGGGGGAGACGGCGGTGGGGGGGGGGCGGAGCCCAGGAGGGGGGTGAGGGGAGCGAGGGGGGGGATAAGCGGGCCGGGGGGTGGGGGGGGGGGGGGGGGGGGGGGGCGTTGCAGTCCGAGGTGGAGGGACGAGAATCGAGGGGGGGGGGAGGGGGGGGGAGGAGGGAGGAGGAGGAGGAGGAGGGAGGGAGGGATGGGGTGGAGGTGGAGGAGGAGGGGCGGGAGGATGAGGAAGAGGAGGATGGGGAGGAGAAGGAAGGGAGGGAGGGAGGGATGAAAGCGTCCCTCCTCTGGGGATCCCCCGTCTCCGCGAGGCGTGCTCGACGCCTGGAGCAGCTTGGCGGCGCTGCTGGAGGCGGCCGGGCGGCCCGAGGAGACGACGCGATGCCTCGCCTGCGTGGTGTCTGAGCGGTCGCGGGAGGAAGAGGGAGGAGGAGGAGGCGGAGGAGGAGGAGGCGGGGGAGGAGGAGGAGCAGGAGCAGGAGCACGAGGAGGAGGAGGAGGAAAATGATGAGAAGGAGGAGGATTTGGCGCCCCCCCTGGCGATCCTATCTCGCGCTGCTTATACTGAGGAGGGGTGTGGGGGGGGGGATGGCGGGTGGATGCTTGCCTCGCCGGCACCCTGGGTTGGCTGCGAGCGCGCGGCTTCGGGCGCAACAGACCTGCGGACTAATTCGTGCGTGCAAAGCGCGGTAGGAGGAGGAGGATTGCTATTCCACGTGCACGCCGGTCGTTGAAACTAGTTTTTTGTTTGATTCACAGATCCCAGTGTTTTCACGCGCCTTCCTACTTCAAGAATCGAAATGCTTTTCCTGCGTTTTGTCATTCTCTGGGAGGGCCTGAGCCCAATCTACTTGATCCGCCTTCCTACTTCATGCTTGTATATACTTTTCCCACCACCGTGGAGTTGTTCAAGGGATTGCGTGGACCGAGAAGGCAACACAGCTTTTCAAAATTGCACCTGGCTTGGCCAGCTCACGCACGGAATAATAAGCGTACAACCTATGCAAACAAAACACGTCCGGCAATTGTATGATGGCCCCGGTTCGGTTCGGTTCGGTCCGGTTCGGCGCGCTTTCGTGTCGGTTCGGCCAGTCCGTTTCAGATATCGCTGTCCGGTTCGGTCCATCCAGTCGCGTTCGGCCGGTTCGATTCGGCTGGTCCGGTTCGGCCGCTCGGTTCGCCCGGTTCGGTCTGGTTCGACCGGTCCGGTTCGGGCCCCCTCCGGGCCCCTTCTGGGCCCTGTCCTGGCCCCCTCCTCCCTCCCTCCCGCTCTCCCTCTCCCTCCCCCTTTCCGCTCCTCCTCCTCCTCCTCCTCCTCCTCCTCCTCCTTCTCCTTCCCCTCCTCCTCCTCCTCCTCCTCCTCCTCGTCGTCCTCCTCCTCCTCCTCCTCCTCCTCGTCCTCCTCCTTCTCCTCCCCCGAGGGGGCCCCGAGGGGGCCACGAAAGTGAGGACAGTGCCGAGAGCGTGCAGGTGAATCACGAACACGCCTCGAAAAAAAGAACGAGAGAGGGCCCTCATCCAACAAGGGGCGCTCTCCGCGCCGTGCGCGGGGCAGGGGAGCAACGGTGCGAGGGTCACTAACGGCGCAACGCCGGGCAGTCCCCACTCGCTCCGCGCCCCCCGCCCGCACCCGCCCACTATTCAGGTGCCTCGGGCTCGGGCGCCTGCTGAGCATCGCAGGCACCCCGAGCTCCGAGAAAACATGCGGCTCGAGGGGCTCGCCCGCCTTGGGATGCAGGCCCCTT